GATATAACAAAATGCAATTATAATATTTGGCAGTTAAAAGTAAGTGGTTTTTTTTAAAAAAAAATTGGAATTTATTATTATGTAGGATTTTGAGCATTTTAAAAAAATTCATAGTAAATTATTATGCTCCGATTTCTATTAAATTTATAACTTCTTAGTTTTTTAGAAGGTAAAATAGGTGTAAAAACAATAATAAATTTTCATTTTTTTTTATTGCTTTTTAAAATAGTATTCTAAAAATCCATTGGGCATTTACAAGTTTTAATTTAAATAGGAAAATTCTGATCTCATATCCAAAATAACAAATGATACTCGCACCGCCATTCTTTTCGCCGGGGACTGTAATTAATAAATTTGATAAAATCTTTAAATAAAAAAAAAAGTTAATAAATTATTATAGGTAATACATTAGATGATGATAATACATCACAAGTCAGAAATAATATTCTAAAAAAATCTAATCCAATTTGTATTTGCAGATTTGATTTAAAATAGATCAGATTAAATTATATATTTTATGATCTATAATCTGGTCTAAATCAAAAAAAATTTAATTCATTTAAATCAGATCAAATTAGATTAAATTTAAGTAATCTGAATCAGATTTAAATTGGATCTTTTTATAAAAAATGCTATTATGAAGTTAAAAATATTGTGAACTATTTTTTATAATTAAGTTAGTAATTAAAAAATATTTTGCAATATTTTTTATTTAAAATTATTAAAAATCATTATAAAATGAATTTTTTATTTATTAATTGAAATAAAAAAACATTTTGCAACATTTTTTTATTAAAATGATTAAAAATTGTTAAGAAATTATTTTTTTATTTGTTTATTTGTTAAATACATTTTGCAACAATTTTTATTTTATTTGTTAAATTGAAAATAAAAATATTTCACAATATTTTTTATTAAAATCAGATAGCAATATTTTATTATTTATTAAAAGAAAATTTCTTAATTTACACGGGGTGTTCATACACATATCACGTGACTTTATTAAAAAGTTATGTAAAAAAAATTTTTTAATAAATATAATTTTAAAAGAAACATGTAGTATATGTATTTTTGTCTGTTCTGCAAATTTACTAAAGCGTCAAAGTTGATTTTGAATGCCAATTTTGATTATTTAACAAATTCTTTTTTTTTCCTGTTTTTGTTAAATTTAATTCTGCCCAACATTAAATGATCAGCATAGGAAATTTACTTTTTTGGAAACTCATGTTTGAACACCCTGTGTACAAATAGAAATCGCCTTATTAAAAACTACATTATATTGTAAAAAACTCATAGGAATGATAATTAAAAACTGTTATAAACCAGTTTTTTATTTATTAAATTAAAAATAAAAAATAATAAATAAAAAATGCTACGATAAAAAATGTTATAAAACATTTTTTATTTAATAATTTACCAATAAAAATATTTTTCGCAATATTTTTTAATAGTATTAATAAGAAATATTGCAAATATTGCAATAAAAAATATTACAACATATTTTTGATTATAAATTTGCTAATAAAAAACTATTTATTAACTATATTAATAAAAACCTAATAGATTAAATCAAATTGAATTCAAATTAAATTGAATCAGATTTGATTTTATTTAATCTGAATTCAAATCAGATCAGATTTAATTCAAATCTGATTTGATCTAATACTAACCAGAAATATATTTATATATGATATTTCAGAAAAACATTACTTTTAATAACATATTAAGTTTATAAAATATAAATAAGTATAGATATATTTTAATTGAAAAAGAAGTAGGTTATTAAGATTAATAAATTATAGAAGCAAGTTTTAATTCATTAGGTATAAATAATTTATACTAATATTTACTTATTTAACTATTTTTTTTTGTTTATCTGAATCTTATTTTTAATATTATTTAGTTATTTTAATTGTACTATACTTTTAACTTTTTTGGCTATATAAAATTCAAATTAATATATATTTATTTAAATCTCAAATTCATTATAAATAAAAATAACTTGATAATTTATATATTTAATAATTGGTTAAAATAAAAAAATAATAAAAAATTAAATTATTTAAATTACAAACTAAGAATTTTGTAAAATATTTTACTACTCTAATCTTAGTGTTTAAATAATTTTAAATAAAAAATAAAAGAAAATATTTTTATATAAAACAGATAATATTAAATATTACTAACAAAAAATTTATATATGTTTTTAAAAAATCTTATATATAATTTTCATCTGTTTTAATAAAATAAATGATACTTATTTTAAGTAAGAATTTTTAATAATAATATTATTAAATAAACATTAAAAATTTAGCAAAACTTACTTTAAAAGTTTATAACCATTCAGTTATTGAAAAATCTTCTGTAAAAGGATTAAGCAATTGAGATGTATAAATAGCTTGTGGATGAGTAATTGTTAATGCAATTTCTTTCTTAAATTTTTCTGCTTCTTCAAATTGCTTTTTAATTTTATCATCATCATTTTTATATGAATTATAAAATAATTTAATTTCTTCTTTTATTTCAATAGTATTTGGTCTATTATCTGGATTTGAATCCCAACATCTTTTCATTAAATTAATATAACATTTTGGTAATTCTAATTCATTTATTTCAGGTCTAATTCCTCCACATATATTTAATACTAAAATATGATTATGTTCATGATTGGCAAAAGGTTGTTTTCCAGTTGCTACAAAATACATAATCATACCAAAACTATATATATCTGCTGCTTGAGTATAAGGTTTTTTTCTTAAAACTTCAGGAGCTACATAAGGCATAACTCCATAAATTTTTGTTTCACTTATTTTATCAATTTTTTCAACTTTTCCACATAATCCCATATCTGAAATATAAGCAGAAGCCTTATTGAATAATATATTTCCTGTATGAAAATCACGATGAACCATTTGTTTTTCATGAATTTCTTTAAGGCCTTCAATAATATCACCTAATACTTTTATTTTATTCTTCCAATTAAAATCTTTATAATTCATATTTACCCAATTACTAAAATTTCCACCTTCTGCATGTTGAAGAACTATAATATAATTTTTTGTATCTGGATTTTGAGATATTCCATATATTTTAATAATATTATTCTGTTTTATAATTGAATATCCTTTAATCTATTAAAATATAATAAACATATTATTATTATATTAAAAAAAAGTATTTAATTAAAAGTAATTTCATACCTCCTTTAAAAATTCATAAGTAATATTTTGAGAATTATCTAAACATTTTAAGGCAACATTTTCATATGATACTCTTATAAATTTCTGTTTAATAGAATCATAATATAATGGACCATCTTTCCATATTGCTGAATATACTGTAGAAAAACCACCTTTACCTATTTTTTTAATATTAATAAACTGATTATATGGTATCCATTCAATTAATTTATCAGATGTTTTTAATTGCATTTCTTGAATAATATTATCAATTATTTTATTTCCACTAGTCCAGTTTATAAAATTTTCTTTTAAAGAATCTATTAAACATAATTTACATCCTTCATAAATATTTATATTTTTATAACATTTTTTACAATATATTTTACAATGAAGGACCATAATATAATCTTTTGTATTAGGATGTTGAGATATTCCATATATAAATTTTTTTGTTTTATCTGAAAATAAACCTTTACGTCCTCGTTCAATTGTATATTCTTTAACCTATTAAACATAAAAAATATAAAAACATATTATTATTATATTAAGAAAAATATTTAAATTAAAAAGAAATTTCATACTTCATTTAAAACTTCATCAATAATATTTTGTGAATTATATAAATATTTTAAGATAACATTTTGATCTAATTGTCTTTTAAATTTCTGGTTAGCAGATTCATAATATAATGGACCATCTTTCCATATTGCTAAATATTCTGTAGTAAAAGTAATAGAACTATTCTTTTCTATTTTTGTTATTTCTTTAATATTATCAAACTGAATGTATGGTATCCATTCAAATACAATATCTTCTGCATAGTTAATTTGTGAATGCATTTTTTGAATGAAATCATAAATTTTTTTATTTTCACAGGCTGAATTTATAAGAATTTTTTTTAACACTTTTATTTGACAACTTTGACACCACATGGTATGATTAGTTGGACTATTTAACCATTTATTACCACATATATAACAATTAATACCTGAATTAAAACTAATTGGTAATTAATAAATGTTAGAAAAATAAAGTACTAGTTAATAACAAAATTATTATAAAACTCCAATTTTAAAAATGATATACTCACTTTCTTAAATCATGATTGATTAGTAAAAGATTAGAAAAATGAAGTATTAGTTAATGATAAAATCACTAATTTCAATTATGATATACTTACTGTCTAATAATTTAATTGAATTGTGATTAATAAGTAATTGATTAAAAAAATAAAGTGTTAATTAATAACAAAATCATTATAAAACTCCAATTTTAAAAATAATATACTTACAAACTGGTAATTTAATTGAATTGTATGATTGATAAAAGTATGAAATGTTAGTTAATGACAAAATTATTATAAAACTTTAATTAAAATCATTATAAAACTTTGATTTCAATTATAATATACTTACGGTCTAATAATTTAATTAAATTGTGATTGATCAATAAATAATTAGAAAAATGAAGTGTTAATTAATGATAAAATCATTATAAAACTTTTAATTTCAATTATAATATACTTACTGGCTGGTAATTTAATTTAATTGTAATTAATAAGTAATTGATTAGAGAAATAAAGTATTAGTTAATGGCAAAATTATTATAAAACTCCAATTTTAAAAATGATATACTTACTTCCTTAAATTATGATTGATCAGTAATTGATTAGAAAAATGAAGTGTTAGTTAATGACAAAATCATTATGAAACTTTGATTTCAATTATAATATACTTACTTTCTGGTAATTTAATTAAATTGTAATTGATTAGAGAAATGAAATGTTAGTTAATGACAAAATTATTATAAAACTTTAATTTCAATTATAATATACTTACTGTCTGGTAATTTAATTGAATTGTAATTAATTGGTAATTGATTAGAAAAATAAAGTTTTAGTTAATGACAAAATCATAATAAATTTCAATTTTAAAATAATACACTTACAAACTAGTAATTAATTGAATTGTAATTAATTAGAGAAATAAAGTATTAATTAGTGATAAATCATCATAAAACTCCAATTTTAAAAATGATATACTCACTCCCTTAAATCATGATTGATCAATAATTGGTTAGAAAAATGAAGTGTTAGTTAGTTAATAACAAAATTATTACAAAACTCCTATTTTAAAAATGATATACTCACTCCCTTAAATCATGATTTAGCAGTAATTGAATAGAAAAATGAAGTGTTAGTTAATAACAAAATCATTATAAAACTCCAATTTTAAAAATGATATACTTACAAACTGGTAATTTAATTGAATTGTGATTAATTGGTATTGATTAAAAATGAAGTATTAGTTAGTAATAAATCATTATAAATTCCAATTTTAAAAGTGAAATAATTACCGCCTATTATTTCATAATTAATAAGTATTAGTTAATGATAAAATTATTATGAAACTTTGATTTCAATTATGATATACTTACTTTCTGGTAATTTAATTGAATTGTGATTGATCAGTGATTAATTAGAAAAATGAAATGTTAGTTAATGACAAAATCATTATAAAACTCCAATTTTAAAAATGATATACTTACAAACTGGTAATTTAATTAAATTGTGATCGATTGGTAATTGATTAGAGTAATAAAGTGTTAGTTAGTGATAAAATCATTATAAAACTCCAATTTTAAAAATGATATAATTACCGCCTATTATTTTATAATTAATGAAGTGTTAGTTAATGACAAAATCATATAAAACTCTAATTTTAAAATGATATACTCACTCCTCTAAATTGGGTGAATCTTCGCTCATAATGTAAGAATTAATTAATTACGAAATAAAATTGTAAGTATATTAACTAACTACTTATTGTAAAGATAATGAGCTGCATTCAGTTAAAAAAAAAAAAATAATAAATAAAGATATATTATATTCTCAGCAATCGTAAGTCGTAACTGTATCAGTTACACAAATGTTATTGAAGAGTCCAAATCCAATAACTATAATAACAATTTACGTGATACAATATTAGACTAATGACCTTCTCCAAAATCGATTACAAATTTTTTTTTGTACCTATATCTATATTGCATGTGTGTTAATCAATACCAGAATCGAACTGTATATAGCGAAAATATTGATATCGAACATAAAGTGGCAAAGTTCGATATTAAACATTCAATTTATAAATTTGCATGTGATATTTAAATTAAAAAAAATTGACACATTCTTGTTAAAGACCCGTGCGGTAAAGATCCTTTAAAATGCAGATTCTAATGCAGAGCTTTATTATGATCTGTCTGTGTTCTTGAGGCAAATTTTCCCTCTCTTTATTCTTAAAATGAATATTACATGTAATTCGATATCATATCCGTTATTCATCATTACACTAATATTAATTTATATGTTAAATTGCAAACCTAGAATAACAATAATAACTAACGCTAAATAATTAATATGATTTAAGAAATTTTGTATTTTTTTTGGATCCTTGAGAATGAAATTCGATTAAAAAATTGCACTCCTCACAAAATTTATGATGATGATTACTAGTAACATTGCATCTTTCTATCAGGCAACTAGCTTTGAATGATAATTTTGCAGCTTCAGATTTCAATATATTTTGAAAGCAGCAATCACATTTTACGATTTTTGCTGCTCTTTTGCCGTTGCATAATGATTTATGCATATTATATTCGATATCATTTAGATCGCTTTTAATAATAATAACCTTTGTATTTCTTGAAATATTTTAAAATAAATAAATTGTTAAGAGAACGACTAAATTCATTGTATAACATTTTGTATCTATTAGGTAATTCTTCTTCATTTTCGCTATTCAAGATAATCGCAAAGTAATTAAGTGAACCAAATACGTAACGTGATTTTTTAAAATTATCAACTTCTCCATCAGAGGAAATATACAGTCCTCTAAATTCTTTTTCTGATCTATGAGTGTGTATTGTAAATGACAAAGGTATTTTTATTGTCTAAGGCATTAAGATAAATATAAATGTAAATTGCGATGTAGATCGCATAATAAATCGATGAAAAATACAAGTTCAATTTTCGTGGTTTACTTGTTCAATAAATTTTACTGACGCTCGATATTTTGCATATGAACGGTCGGAAGGTATCTATATCTAACACATATAGTAGTGTTCACTCAAAAAATTTAGCGCCAAAAGCGGAGCGATTTGAAAATTTCGAATTTTTCAACTTGCGCTTCGAGCGAAAGTTGACCGACATTAACGACCCAAATTTTTGTGAAAAATTGTACATAAAAGAAAACAATCTAATTATATTCATTGAGAAGATATGGGCTTGTGTCAGTTAAAAAAGGGGGAAATCACCCTCCTAATCAATTTTGAGATTTTTGGTTCATGTGATGCAAATAAATAATTTTGGTAGACCAGAAAGCATAATAAATTTTCGAGATATATAGAAAATGAATAATGGAATGATTAAATTATAAATTCATTTAATTTTGTAAACCTTTCGTAAAAAATTGACGCCCATTTATTTTATTAGTATTGTGGAATCACATTCTCAGTAAATTATTCCATATAAGGTATAAATCTCCTCAAGACTGCCATAATCATTTACCTTATCAGTAATTATTTATTCATAAAAAAAAAAGCGTTAATGCACATATATCCTAAATTTAAGGTATCCGATTGGTGTGTACAAAGTTAAAAGCCACGTTTTGGCCAAATGTCCTGTAAATACACAAATAAACTTAATTTAATAAAGTAAAGAATATTTCTGCGCAAAATTTTATAGATTCGTGAGAAAATAATTTTTTAACTATTGTTTTATTACTAAATCAAATTTCTAATTATGGAGAATTAACTTGTTTTACCATTATATATTATAATTTATTATAATTTGTTTATGTATAAAAAAAAAATTTTTTAATTTATCAATGAAATTATTTCTTTTTTTTATACGTAGAAAAAGAAAGAAAAATTATATAATATAATTTATATATATAATGCTCAAATCAAATATTTTTTGGAAACGAAAAAAAAAATCCTTTTTTTTCTGCCAATAATTTTTTTTTTTTTTTTGAAAGTTTAGAAACTTTAAACTTCTATTTCAAATTTTTCCTTTCCACTAGCTCCTTTTATGTAAATATATATCAAAAAAAAAAAAAATAGAAAAATAAATCGCAAGGATTTTTTTGATTCAGTTCCCACTTTGAAGTAAAAGCAATATTCGATATAAAACTTTTACAATGGATCATGCTCATAAATCCAATTTTACCGAAACTATTGAACGTCTTATTATTCGAAGACGGAATAACCGTCGAGCAAGGAGAATTGATATATATATGTTGAATTATTTTAGAAGATTACCATTACCACCAACACAAACCACAAATAATCCATCTATAAATCGTTTTTTTGGTGGATACACTTTTCCTTAAACATGTTTAATATTTAATTAAGATATCATCCCTTCGTTTACGTTTTATTCAAATAATTTGAAAAACGCAAAATCTGTATATGACAAGACTCGAATTCTCAAATATCGTTGGCAAACCCACTTTCGATCAATTTAAAACATTTAAGCGGCAATTATATACATATATTTATATTTATATATTAGGAGGACTCTCCCTGACTCTTTGATCAAAAAAAAAAAGATTCCCCTTACTTGGTTTTAACTTCCGTTTTTGAATTTTTTCTTCCGAGAAGATTTACTTTCTCTGCGGCGACGTGACTTTCGAGTTTTTTAAAGAAATATTTTTTTTTTTTATTGTAAACAAAGTAACAATCACCTTTTCGTTATTTAACTCGTTTTAATTTCTATTTTTATACAATTTTTCTTATTCCGAGAAGTTAAATACTTCCGCAGCAAATTTCTTTTTCTTATTAGTTTCTTTTCGGGTAGAAACTACCATTATGGAAATTATTATATATTAAGCTCTTTTAAAACTAAAGCACCTAAGCAACATGATTCGTATCTTGGATAAAAAAGATATCTTCGATGCAATCTATTTTTCACAACGGTCCGTGCTGATCCTAATTGCTAAAATATATTATGTGGTCAAGTTCAGAACGCGTCCGTGCTATACTATTACCAGTCATTACGATTGGATAAAATATTAATTTTTTCCGCGACTCATTTTTAAATATCATGTGTTCTTACATCGAGGTTCATATATCATTCTAATAGAACCGAGACAAGCTCTCTTCAATTTTATCTTCCTTTTCCTTTGGTTTTCTTTTTTTTTGTTGGCTACATAGACTTCTCTTCACTTTACAATATTTTATCATTGGGGAGGGCGCACGGTTAATAGCAGACCATGAAGGTTGACTACTGCGGGACAGATAGTTATATCTTTATAATTTTAATGTACTTACTAATTTGCTCCTTATCTCAACGAGAAATAGAAAAAGAAGGAATAATTCTCCTTGTATATATTTATTTTAAAAATTTTTTTTTTTTATTTTGAAGGAAATTTCTTTTCTTTTCTTTTATTTTATTTTCTTTATTAAATAATTAAACATTATCAACACAAGACAACAACTATTAATACAAAAACTTTCCAATTAGAAAAAAAAAGGTTGATTCTTGACTAATTTATATTTACGTTAAATAAAATAAAATGAAAAATGAATGGACATTGTCGAGGACGCGAATGTTACCATCTTGACCCAGAAAAGGACACATACAGTAATAGGAAAGAATTTATTATTTTCAATTTCCATTTTTGTAAAAATTTCCCTATTTTAGTATATCAAAACCTCGCGCGCTAATAAATATATTAATGATGTACCCCACTTACCCGCTTTTGCCTCGAAAGATTGGTAAAGTCCTCAAGTACGGCAGGAACGGCAAGCAGGCTATATATCTAAGTAATCCCCATGTTTGAGCAAAATCGTTAGTACAAGAATAGAATCAGACTTTAAGCTATTGTATTCGAAAAAAAAAAACGAATAAAACGTTCAACCTTGTTTATTTTATCAGCAGTTAAAAAATAGGAAATATCATAATCTTAAATTTTATTTTCATCTATTTTCGATGTCATCAGATCAAATAATTTCAAAGTTACACTTTGATTAAGTTTGCCCAACACATTTCGCATAAGATTATTCAAACTCTTTTCTTTGAAATATGACTTTATAAGTACTTCCATTAACATTCTTTTTGAATATTTATTAAAAAATCATAAAATCATTTTGATTGATGAAGTCTGCTGGTACTGAATTACATATGGATTCTTGTAATTGGGAAATGTAAATTCAAAATTGGTAAAAGGGTAAATGATTTAAAATCCAGTATTTTAGATTATATTATTAAAAAGAATTTTTCAAAAAAAAAAAAAATATTTCTCAGCAATGAAGACATTCAAAAAAAAATAATAATCTAAAAATATCAAACACAACAAATAGATAAAAATTAAAGTTTGTTTAAAATGAAAATGAACTAGCCATTAATCTCTTCGCTATTCTCTCTTTATCAAATCGTCCGTAATATTTCCATCCGATTCCAATGAATTCAAAATTAAAGTTTTTGGATGGTCATGGAGAAATACTTTTAACTATAGGTTCTTTCTATTATGAGTCTATGATGGGCGGATGTGATCCCGTAAAGGTACATTCTTAGGACATCACACTGTTCGTGTACAACAAGGCCTATTATTAGATATTATCTGAGATTTTCTTCTTGTTTGATAGCGCATTAGCCCTACAGTTGAACTACCGACGCTAATAGTGATGATAGTAAAATAGACCCTTCCATCATTCGGGCGCAATCCCATTTTTAACTAATAAGAAGTTAGATCAAGTTCTCTTAGTGAATATACAGAACATATGAAAGCTTCCACAGCGGATTTTTATTTAATATATTAGTAAAAGATTTGTATAAGCCCTCCTGCAGGTATCAACCCATTAATCCATGGGAATTACTTCTTGTTAATACAATTCTTTTACTCTCTTCTGGTGCCACCCAAGAAAAGGTGTCAAAATGGTGATTCGATGAGTCATACCTTGCTGATACAAATAGAAAAATAAACCGCGATTCGTAATTTCTTTTCTTTTTTTTAATGAACGTATATCGTCAAGTTATCATATCATAAGGAGCATCCATATAAGAATGTCTTTGCTTCTAAATATTTTCTACTATATGTTTCAATATCTTATAGTATATAAAATCTAAATTTTCCATTATTTATTAGATTCGAGTGTTTAAGACTTAAAGGATATTCTATTTTCATTTATTATAAAGTGGAAGTGTTATAATTATATGATCATTAATAATACGTCATTGCATGGCCTTGACTCTTGAGTGTACCTTATAGTACTTCCGCTACACTTCGAACATAAACATTGTGATAAAATCTTTTCGTTTTTATTATAGAGTACTGTAAAATACGCGCTTCATCTGCATCTTCATCTGCATGTTTTTTTTTTGTTTAATGCTCGGAATGAGTGAAATATCCGACAAAAATCATCCTCCATAGAACTCCCTCGATCCCTTGTATCAAAGCGAACGAATACTCTTGGGCCCAATGGAATTGCAAGAGTATTAGTAATTATATTCTGAGCGCGATATAAATACGCTATTATAATGAATAACACTAGTACAAACGAGGTCTTTATAATAATCAAAATCAACGTCCAAAGAATCTTTATCTTTTCAACGATATTATATTCCACTACACTTTGTTGAATAAACTCTCTCGTTTTACGCTATCATCTAATTAATGAACACCATGAAGTAGATGCAAGATATGATGGCGAACTTAGTTAACTTTGAAGTATACTACTATGTACTAATCATTTTCTTTACGGTTGAATCATCTATTATTAAACACGTGTATCCCGACCATCCCGTGTTTGTGATCACGTAATTATATTTGGTGATTACTATCTACCAATTTGTCACATTCAGTAAGAGTTTCTAAGATGAAAGTAGGGAAAAAAAACTGAACAAGAAAATAGGGAAGTAAAATTCGTGAGGTTTATATATTATAATATCCATGTACAAAAAATAAACAATTTATGCAAAAGCGCGTGAAAACCAAAGGAGTGTAGCACTTAATTATCATCTGCCACATCTGTCAATCAACAATTGCCCCATTTAGATTAACTGAAAATTAAATTGATGGTTTTAAAGTAATCAAAAAAAAAAAAAAAATTATTTATACCGTATGTATTTCATTTCTTACTCCGCCGAAAATGCTGGACTTCTTTACAATTCTAAAGAAAGGCGGAACTATTCTTTAGTCAAAATCTTTTTACTCATATTACTTCGTCCCCGGTTAATTAATTAATATTAATAGAAGAAAGGGCCGAAGTTATATACAATTTAAAATGGGCATTCGCAAATGAATTAGTTCTTATTTTGTGATGTATGTCTAGTAAAGTGAGTTGAACTTTAGTAACATTATCAACTACGACTCTTAGTGTTTAATATAATTTTTTGACACTTACATTTATTGTAACAAATATATAATTTTTTAACTAGGCTGTTTATATTCTTCAATTCGCATATATTGAAGAACTTCTTGCTACTGTCAAGAAATTCTTTTGTGATAAATTTGCCAGCCTTATTCGAGATTCTAGTCACAAATTAATTTTGATGAAAGATTTTAACATAATATTAGATTATATCGAAGAATAGGACTCCAAGGTTCCAAATATTCTTTAATATGTTATATTCTAAAAAGGAGGATAATTATCTAATTATTTAGTTCATTCTTTTTTTAGGGTCACGATAGGTTATCTAAACCGCGACCATTTAAGATAAAAAAAAACTTGGTTAGTGAATTCACATTTTCAAAAGATAATATTATATTGTTGTTTATTCTTAAAGAATAAATTTTTATGATAAAAAATTTCTTTATTCAGGCATGCATGACGTATTAAACCTACTACGAATTCGAAGATGAAATTGCTCAGACCTTCATTTACGTAGTAGAATGCGAGGACGTAGCGGACGAAAATAGTTCGGGTCTAACGAATCTAATGTTTCATCAGAGTAAAGACGTATTTAAAAAACAGCCTATTTGGTTAATAAGTGTTTATAATAAAATTAAGCGATAAGAAACAAGTTATAAAGACATTGCTTTTGTAATGGGGTGATAAAAATTGACAAATGAAGAGATGGAAAAGTTTGGATTATAGTGGAAATAAAGGATAGTGATAAATCGTATCAGTAGATCCACAAAATTTGGTTGACCAAAATCAATTGAGTCAAGTATTATGAAGTACAAGATTTAGGTCAAGATGAAGATGAGGATAAATTTGAAGAGGATGGTTATAATGAAACGAACAACACTCTGGATCTAGCATATTTTTAAAAATATCACTGGACAGAAAAAAATTACAGACCAGGATCTCGTTCCAGTATTTCCAGTATTAGCAAGACTGAAAGTTTTAAGAGTATGTTGTTAGTATGTAACTATGTATATGCTTTGAATAAATCTTTATTTAATATATTAAAAACAACGACATGATCATTTATATAGGTGTTGGTAAATGTTTTGCAAGAGGGATCAAAGTTTTAATGTATGATGGAACACATCAAAATGTCGAAGAGCTTAATGTGGGAAATCAAATTATGTCCAAGAACTATTCTGCCTATTATAAAAGGTGATGGCATAATGTACCGCATTATCCCAAAAGACCCAAATGATAAAGTTCCAGCAAAATTTTTCGAACTTGCAGCATCATATTTCATTTGGGGTAACCGCGTCAGATGAAGTACAACGATGTTGTCTTATTTTAAATCGGTACAAGGAAGATTTCGCGTTATTTTAAGCAAAATTCATGGAGTAAATCCTATTGATTCTCAAATTTCTGCTGTTTCATGGCTTGTTAAATCACCCACTATTTATTGTCAATGAAAATGTTGAAAGAATTACGTGATACTATATTGGTTGATTCAGGATGGAAATTTCATTTGTGAACGATAATGATATTGAAAACGGGTTCTATGTACACTGATATTTTGAACACGAAAAAAAAGTGCCGCCCAGTTATTATGAATGACGAACTCGATCAGGTTTGACGAATTTTATTTTATGTAATAATATTTCTTTTGGATGTTAAATTGAATAATTTCGTTTAGAAGAAAAAATTAATTGTGTTAATTACTTTTTTTTAACTTGAATAGTTCGCTTTCCTCTTTTTTGCTGGAATTTTAGAAATTAGTGATCATTTACTGTAAGAAAACAGAAATTATATGTTTACTAGTACGATGTTAGCGAAATCTGTAATCTAGCGAATATATCAGGGTTTTTTATACTACAAAAACATGAAGAGCGTTCAAATAATATAACGTCTGATATGGTATGGTAGAAAAAGTTGTCTTTGGGTCATATTATGACGGGATTTAAGTTGACAAGAACAAGAAGTTTATGAAAGCTACTTTAAAAAGTTAGAAGACTCATCTAGGAAGATGCAGCGTATTTACTAGCAGATTTGACAAGGAATCATAATGTGAGTCATAATTTCTATTTATTTTTTTTTTTTCAATAAAAAAAAAGAATACATGCTTTTTTGATTTATTATTAATTAATTATGCATCCTTCTCTTTTATTAGTCCACAAATTTATCGAAGACTTGTACAAAATGGATTAAAGGTCGATTTGATACTTTTAGATCAGGTGCCGTAGAACAATTAAGAGTACATGTTGCTTTAGGTCAAAATTCAAATGTGCAATTATATGAAACGTACTTAGTGTATGGAAAAGATGCTGCAATAAAACTGACTCTACGGTGTAGACATTGTTGCTGGCAAATATATATTCTTACATAACAAATAAATTCGATATCGTATTGATTGATACGGCGGGACATGTGCAGGATAGCGAATTGTTAATGCGAGCGTTAGCGAAGGTACGATATCGATCGTAATATTTTATTGATCTTTAATTGTAATTTATACTGTTAGTGAATAATCCCGACAAAATTGTATTTGTCGGTGAAGCATTAGCCGGAGTTGATTGACTAACAAATTCAATAATGCTTTAAATTACGAAATTCAAGACATATAGATGGGATGATTTTGATACAGCTGATGGCGGGAATATTTGTTGAAACCGGACAAACATATACAGATTTTAAGAATATGAAATATTGGACATATTTATTATACATATTATACATATTATTCACTCTCTTCTTAAGGAATGAAGATTTGGGACTCACAAATCATTCTGATTTAATGACGAATATGGTGATCACACTTTACACACTTTGACAAATCACTGATAAAAATTTTTTTTAATTTGAATTTTATAAATCAAGTAATGTATTTTATTTTATTTTATTTTTATTTTTTTTACTTTAATTGATCATTATTAATTTAACATCATTTCTGATCAAATCACTTCTCAATGATAGAGAGACGACGTGCGATAGACCGAGTAAGTGTAGCAGAGAGAATACGTGTGATACGTGTAATAGAGTACGTACTGAATAAAAAAATAATGATAAGAAAAACAAAAATAAAATCAAAAAAATCACATCTAATCAAATCAAATCAAATCTAAATCAATACTCATCATCCGCGATTGAGGCTTTGAATGAGATCACGTGTAGGGAGTTGGTAGGCTATTTCTTTATTATTATTATTATTATTATTATTGGCAAAAATTTTTATCCATGTCTTATTTTACTTTACCTGTCAAAAGATGCGAGTACACAAAAATTAGTATTAGTGTAAAAAAAGATAATCAAATAAAGTTATCATATCAACTCCTTGTTTCAAGATTTGTAGTTATCTCTCTTTTGATGTAGATTGACAATCATTAATACAGTTCAGGAGCTGTATCTCTGATTTGACATTTAAATAATTTTTTTTTTTAAAATACGTTCATCATACATAATTGTAGATTACAATTCAGCACAGCAGGGGAGTACATAACTTTAGGGTAATCTTTTTAAAGATAAGAATGGGTGTAATTAATTGCGTGGGAGAAAATTAACAAGTTTAAGAACAGGAAAGAAAAATTGAATCGAGAATAAACAAACTTTTAACAAGCCATATTCAGCCAACTATGGTAGATAATCTGTTATCATTTCCTGTTTAACTAAAACGTGAGGGAATATGGTATTTTGGATATTTTTTTGTGGAAAAATAATATTTTTTTTTTTTTT